CGATGCGCCAATACCGAGGAGCCAGGGTATTGGTGGAAAGACATTGACTGGCCAAAAAAAGGAAATCCCACGACTCCTTACACCTAAGTCGAAACTGCGACTTGGATCGTGGAATGTGCGGACCGCCTTTCACTGCGGTCAGAAAGAAATCATCGCAAGGGAGCTGAGCAAGTGCCGGGTTACTGTTGCAGCTTTATCCGAACTGAGGATCAGCGGCTGTGGAACGACAAGAGTGCAGGTTCCTGCTACGGACGATTGGATGACACTGTACTACTCTGGCGGTCAAGAACATCGTGATGGTGTTGGGTTCATGCTCAATAGCCACGCATCAAAATGCGTCGTGTCGTTTCAACCCATCTCGCCGAGAATAGCAGTGATCACTTTGGGCGGAACCGTCAAGTCGCACATAGTGAGCGTATACGCTCCGACGGAACCGAGCGACGACGGTATGAAGGACGAATTCTATATGCAGCTCCAAGACGTGCTGGACAGCATTCCCAGAAGAGATCTCGTTATCGTCACAGGCGATCTGAACGCTAGAACTGGCGCCGACAGAACCGGATGGGAACCTGTGATGGGCCGATTTGGCGTAGGAGAAATGAACAACAATGGTTTGCGGCTGCTTTCGTTTGCCACGTTCAATGATCTGGTCATCGGAAATAGCCTATACCAGCATGCACGAAAGCATCAGCTGACATGGAGAAATCCATCTGGTCACGATTCAGCAGTCCTGGACTATGTACTAATCAATTCTCGATACAGGTCATCGCTAAAGGATGTGCGTGCAATGAGAGGCCCGGATTGCGGATCAGATCACTACCTTCTACGAGCAGTCGTGCAGCTCCGCCTACAGTGTGCTAAGCGAGGTAAACGCCAACCGAAAGTAGACTGGGAGCAACTTTTGAAGCTGGAGGTGAAGCAAGACTTCCAAATTGCACTGTCAAATCAGTTTGCTGCGTTCACGGAAGTGGGAACGGTGGACGAGGAAGAACGGCAGACTGCAAAAGTCATTACCGAATGTGCTACACAACTGTGCCCAGTTTTGCGCCGACGGACTAAACCATGGATCTCGGACGAAACATTGCAGTTGGTTGACAAAAGGAGGAAGGTGAAGCTGACGAATGGTACTACGTATCAGCTACTCAGTAAGGAGCTCCGCAAGAGACTAAAAACAGAAAGGGAGGCCTACTGGAACGCAGTAGCGGAGGAGCTCGAAGAATCGGCATCCAAACACGAGTATCGCATGCCGTATCAAATTCTGAGAAGACTGTGCGGCAAAACCAGAGCATGCGGAACCTTCATCAAAGACGCAAGTGGCAAACTCGTGAAGTCAGAGAGGGAACGCTTACAGAGATGGAGAGAGTTCTTCATAGAGCTGTACAGCCACGAACTGCCCACAGAACCGTTTCCAGAGCCAGTACCGATAGAGATGCCACAGGAACCAACACACGAGGCGGCGCCAAGTATGGAGGAAGTGAGGGCGGCGGTGATGTCGCTGAAGAACAGGAAAGCGGCTGGTGTAGACAATGTCACAGCAGAAGCGATTAAGGCAGGAGGAGAAGTATTGGTACAACGGCTCCACCGTCTTATGTGTCGCGTCTGGCAGACGGAGGCTGTTCCTACGACGTGGAAACGCTCCATCATCGTGCCAATACACAAGAAAGGCGACATAACGGAATGCAAGAACTATCGCGGCACATAATGCAAGAACTATCGCGGCATATCACTCCTGTCAGTCGTCGGGAAGGTTTTCACAAAGATCATCAACGCAAGACTTCAGCTTCACCGAAGAAGCTTATGCCGACCGGAGCAAGCGGGTTTTTGCCCTGGCCGTGGGTGCAGTGACCAGATCTTCGCGCTGAGGCAACTACTGGAAGAACGTATTCGTTGCGGCAAAAGGGTTGTGGTTGTTTTCATAGATTTCAGAGCTGCATTCGATAGCGTCCACTGGCCAGCGCTATGGAAAGCCCTAGAGTGTGAACACGTTCCGGACAAAATTGTGAGGCTGTTGCGGGAGGCGTACAATGGAACTGTCAGCTGTATCCGCGTCAAGGATGACGTCTCTGAAGAATTTCCTGTAAGTGCTGGTGTTCGTCAGGGTGACGTGATCTCCCCTACGTTGTTCAACGTGGTAATGGACGCTGTCATGAGGAAAACTTTCAACGGAAGGCAAGGCGTGCAGTACGGTGAAGGCGGCTTTCTCACTGACCTGATGTTTGCCGATGACAGCGCAATTTTTGCCGAAACTGACGAGGAAGCGACTAACATCATGTGCTCACTGTCAGAGATTGCCCAGTCGTATGGCCTCAAAATAAACGCGGAAAAGACCAAGGTGATGACCTCGGATGGATCGCCCGCGTCCGTGCGACTGGGTAGCGTCGCCTTGGAGCAAGTGAGTAATTTCAAGTACCTTGGATCGGTCGTTCAAGAAAGGAAAGTGGCTGCCGAGGCTGAGGTCCGCAGCAGGATTGGTCACGCGTCTAAGACATTTGCAGCGTTAAAGTGGTGTCTCTGGAAGAAGAGTAACATATCACTGAAAACCAAAATTCGCATGTTCCGGACGCTGGTGCTCCCGGTGCTACTATATGGGTCTGAGACATGGACGTTGCTCAAGTCGGATCTCTCTCATCTCGAGGTGTTTCAAATGCGTTGTCTCCGCCATATGCTCGGGATCAGGCTTCGTGACCATGTCACGAACAACGCCATCAGGGAGAAGTTTGAAGATCAACCCACAATCGAGGAACAATTGAAACTGCGACGGCTACGATGGTTCGGTCATCTGTGCAGGATGGGTCACGACAGAATACCTAATATGCTCCTGTGGAGAAAACGCCCTGCGCAGTGGAAAGTTCAGAGGACGGCTCCAAAAAAGACTTGGTTGAAGCAAGTTGAGGAAGACCTTAGGGCTCTGAGGTGCAGTGTTGAGCATGCTAGACGTATTGCTGCTAATCGACCAGAATGGAGACACTTCATTCAGGGCGTTCGTACTCCAATGGCACCCACAGCAGTGTACTGGTTGAGAGGCCGGCCCCCACCACCAGACGCAAGCTAAGGGATAAGTAGTAAGAGGATGGTCAAAGCGCTTAAAGTCAGCGCCAATGATACCAAACCAATGGGGGGGGGGGCTAAAAAAAGAAACACAATTCGACCGGATCCAATCATATCAGCAAAGTTTTCGCAGCCCAGACAGAAGACGTGGATACGAGTACCAGGGCGGAAGATACCCAAGATGTTCCTCGATAAGCAGGAGCTGGCCCTCGCCCATCACCTTCATGTACACCAAAATATGAAGTCATCTCCAGTCGCAGCCTGACTGGAAGACCTTTGGAATTCATGTCACCTCCAAACAGCTGCGAAACTTCTAGTGTGGAGTCACCCATGGATAGCTACCTGGAGACCAGTACTCTCGATCTGGAACCTCCAACATCGAGCAGCTCCGACAACGTCGCTACGGTCCAGGACATCATCTTCACCGCAGTCGCCAAGGCGCGGGTTGATGGTATGGACCGGACGTACCTGGAATGGAAAGACCGATATTTTCTTCGTGGACCCCGGACTGAAGGTGAGCGCTGGCGGTTACATCGAGCAACTCGAGAAGAATATCCTCCCCACATGTCGTCGCCCGTACCTTCTTGGAAACTTTGTACTGCTATTGGGTGACACCACATGGAATCGAAGGGCGTTGGAAAAACTCTCGCCTACTTGGAATGGAAGGGGGTTGAGTACCTGAAGAAGTGGAATATCTAAGCAGGTCACCTGACCTAAACCCCCTCAATTACCTGGTTCGGGCGGAGTTCAATAGGGTGGTCTACAGTGGCGGAGAAATCGACTATCTCGCTGATCTCAGGCACCATCGCGGTCGCGTGCCAGAATCTCTCGATGGCGCTCGTCCAGAAGGCTGTGGCGGAGTGTCATGATAGTATTTAATATGCTCTTTAATATGGTGGTAGAAATGTCCGATCAGAATTTTATAAAGTGTAACTTATAGCGCCTCGAAAGTCAAGGAAGAAAAGTGACTTTTTTTGCCCCCCCCTGTATAGCTGCGTAAACATCTGTAGTATAGCCGTGTTGTTGCAGCAGTAGCGCGTCAATGCGCATTTCCGCGAGGTTTGCACGCTGCCTTAGTAGCGTTTTTCGTCCTGAAGGTCGTTTTTCGAATGCTGCGCACGCAGTCACTTTACCGATACCACCTTTGCTGCGCCACCACAGCTTGGATGTCCTGACTAGCTCCCGGAAATGCGGAATAAAGGTTGATCAGTGTGGACCTGCAAGTTGCATCGTGTGGGCGAATTCCGTCTGAAGCATTCTGAGCACTTTGCCGACGCCTTCTGCTCCCTGGAATTCTTCATTAAGCTGGACATCTAACCGTTGCCAGGAGTAATTCCTCACCTTCACAGAAAGTCCCCATAGTATTGGACGTCCTACAAACACTCCATTAGCACCGAGAGCTATCGCTTTGAATACATCTCGACCATTTCGGAATCCTCCGTCAATAAATACCTAAATGCGGCAGGGCTGAGCAGTGCTTGAAGGCAGATACAACATCGGCCGGTAGGCGGGGCGAATCCCACGCAATCAAACATTTTAGTTGTGTTCATAGTCGGCGTCCGGCCTGGCAATCGCTCGAATTAAGCGATTCGGCGATTAGTAAACAGTGCTATTTGGTCATTGAAATGGTTTCTGGAGTCAGTTCCTTGTCCGCAATTGCTAACCGGCGAATCGTTTCGGTCGCAAGA